CAGTCATATTTTTCTATTTAGATATATTTATTCGTATCATCATATTTTTCACTGTTCAAATATATTTATTCAGAATAAGTAATATTTCAAAATAAATAAATAATAATAATAATAAAAAGATTTTAAAAAAATTAAATCTATTTGCCAAATAAGCCTAAGTGCTCCAAGTGCTCAAGTGTCCATTTTTTATTTTTAAAATTGTCTAACTCACTAAAAAAACTCCTAATAAACCCAAATGATTTGGCCCACTACAGCACTTAACTCAATTACTTAAATAATATAAGTGATTTCTTTTAAATCATATATAAGTGATATTTCTCCTTGATGTAGAATTCACTACATTCTAAACTATCAACATAGGCATCGTTGCTCCATCCGCTCATCTTGCCTTTGATCCTTTCTTTTATCTCTCTAAATGCTCTCGATCAATTTCGCCCCACCATGAATGACAGACCGAAATACTTCACTGGGTTCACTATAGCTTGGATGCCAAACATTGCTTTAAATAACTCCTATTGGGCCACACTGGTGTTACTACTAAAGAACACTGGTGTTACTACTAAAGAACAAAGCTGATTTGTTGTCCATAGCCTTCCTCATATCTCTGTAACATGTTCTTCACCCGTTAACCTTCGCTTGTAGTTGCCTTGGCAAAAGTAAGCTATCATCTGCAAAGAAAATGTGAGTTACTTTGGGCCCATTTCGACTAGCTTGAACTCCATGGAGTAAGCCCTCTTTTTGAACTTTAGCAAGAAAAGTTGACAGTCCTTCACTAAATATCAAGAATAAGTACATTGATAGTAGATCACCCTGTCTGAGACCTATTATTGGCTAAAACTTGTCAGTATTACAACCATTTACAATAATCAAATACGAAACAGATGTAACACAGTGCATTGTAAGAGATATCTATCTAGATTTAAAACCCATTCTCTCTATCATAGATTTAAGGAAAAAAAAAACCCATTCTATCATATCATAAGCTGTGCTCATGTCGAGCTTTAAAATAACGAAACCATTCTGCCCTTCTCTTTTGTTTTTTCTTTAGGCATGAACGAGTTCTTATGCGACTAGCATGTTATCAGTGATGAGTCGTCTAAGAACAAAGGCATCTTGGGTCTCACTGATGCATGATGGCAAGACACATTTTAGCCTATTGGCTAGCACGGCAATAATTTTATACAGCATATTACAAAGGCTAATAGGTCTAAATTGGGTGATGCTACATAGGTTTCTAGTTTTAGGAATCAAAACAATGTTGGTATGATTAACTTCACTTAGGTTACCTTCCCCATTAAAGAAAGATAAACAAAATCAAGCTATATCCTTACTAATTATGTGCCAAAATTTGTGAAAAAATAAAGCAAGCATACCATCTAGCCTAGGGACTTTTGTTGGGTGCATTTGTTTGATGACTGTCAAGACCTCGTCAGTAATGAATTCCGCTAGGAAGAGATCGTTCATCTCGTTTAACACTCGATTTTCAACTGCCTCTATAATTCTTCCATGTGCCTGCTTCCTTAGGGTTGAAACAATTGCTTGAAATAGCTAGTGGTGATTTCTGTGATCTTGTTTTCATCTTCACACCACTCTTCACTGTTATTTTTCAGTCCTTTAATATTGTTGCACCTCCTTCTTTGACTGGCCTTAGCATGTAAAAAAGCCGTATTACGATCACCCTCCCTAAGCCAGTCTACCCACAATCTTTGGGCTCATAATGGCTCCTCTCTTTCAATTGCCAAGTTCAACTCCTCTCAAGCTATTCTACCTTTCTCCAAATTTTCCTCATTCAGCACAGAGCTTTTAACCTGCTGGAGCTCCCTAGTGAGGTTCTTGACTTTCTCATTCATGTCTTGAAAACGTTCTTTATGTCATTTGGCAAGCATTTCGCTTGTGCATGCAATTCTTCTAGTGATCTGTTCAACTTTACTTGCTCTTAAGTCTTAATTAATTCCCTATCATTCATCATCTGTTTTTTTATATATTAAAAAGTAGTCTCTAATCCCTATTTTAGAAAAATACATGCAAAAAAAAAAAAAAAAAACTAATTACTTGCAAATATATAGATGATAAAAAAGTCTAGGCATATAGTGGTAACTGAATTCAATAAATTTCAAATAAGATAAATTAAAATAAACAAAGAAACTAAATTTAACATAAGTTAGAGAAAAGTTGATATCAGTGCAATTTTTTTATAAAAAAAATCATAATTTCAGGATAAAGAAAAAAATTGTAAATATTTGGATGCAAAAAAGTAATGCTATTATGGTCGAGTTATATGGAGGTTCTTTCCTCACCATGTATGTAGTGCTATTAACAGCAGCTTGGGCGGCTAGGTATTGAAGTATTGAGTGTCAAAGCATCGATCGGTTTCAGTGTTAATCTAATTTTGAACGTTGAACGAGTCCATTGTCGGGTTCAGGAGCTGCACAAGCATGGAGCTGAAGTCTCAGCCCGTGATAGTTTCATATAGGAAAAGGAAGGTCATTGGGCAGTTGAAAATAATCAATATGTCCTAAAACCTAAAATACCCCCAGTGGCAATAACAGTAAAGAAATAAAAATCAATTACAGTTTTTTAATTGTGGGTGACAAACCTGTGTCTAAAATTTAATGGTTTAGGAATTTACCATTAAGTATAAAACTTGATTGATATTTTAATTTGGATTATTAACTATATAAGGAAGATGTACAGAGAAAAATTATATATAAAAATACAAAATAAGGGAGTGAATATTAATTTATTAACTTAATAGATTTAGTTAAATGAACACGTAATAATTAATAAAACATGTTTTATCTATGAGAAATGATCATATGATATAATTATTCCATTTAAGCATAAATTTTATCATTTAAATCATATCATATAATCATATTTTTTTAAAATTAATAATTTATTATACATTATATATAATAATTAAATATAAATATTTATTTCAATAAATTCTTTTATAATTTTGGTAATAATAATTAATTATTTAAACAAATTTTAATTATATAATATGATTTAAATAAAAAAGATATTCGTTGTGTAGTAATTTTTAATCGTTTTTCCTATGAAAATTAAAAATTCATTCCCATCTATACAATAATAATCTTTTAAATTTTTAATTCAAAAAAATAATTTAAATACTTATTATTAGAACTATATTCTACGGAATTATTTTTTCTTTTATATTTTTTCGAATTTAAAGGAGAAAACTATATTATCCTTATCATCTTATCATATTGTCAAAAAAACCTGAAATCAGCCATTAAATGGCTAAAACGTTACTTCAGAGTTCGGACTTCGAGATATCGATTCCACGAACAACTTTAATCCCTTAAACCTCGCATAAACTAGGCATTTATTCCAAGAAAGGTAGATTTGAGACTTTTTTTTTTTTTTTTAATTTCTCTTCTATCGAAAATTCCCAAAAAAAAAAAAATACGGAAAACGACACACATTTTATCTGTCAATCACAGAAACAACTATTGACCAAAAAAAAAGAGGAAACAACTATTATATACTTCTTCAAAGGATGCGTCTGCTAATTGCTTCTCTGTCTCTCCCTATAAATCTTCCCATTCTAAGTTGTCTTCTTTTATTATTTTATTATTTCTTCTTTCTTCCCTTCTTTGTTTTGAAAGTTACAACAATCTTCTCTCCAGGCAAGTTTTATACTTTTTTTCTCAGTGCTTTTTCTCATTCATTTCCATTTCTTTATAATCTTATTAATCCTTCTTGAATCTGGGTTTTTCTTTCTTTTTAGTTTAAAGGAGTTCAATTCAAATGTAAATGAATTTTGTGTTTTAATATTGCTATGTTCTCTTTCTCTTTTTCTGTTTCCATACTGAAATCTTTTTATTTTCCTTATCATTATCAAATATAAAATACTACAATCATTTGAGAAACACGTTTTGAATGTTTCTTTCTTTCATTATTAATTTAATTTTCATGACTGACTGATTATTATATTTTACAAATAAAATACTACAATGATTAGATAGAATTGTCATCAATGATTATTGCTGTCAATATTTTGCTTCACTTGCTTCAAAAGACAAACAACTTATTGAAAAAAAAATTGACAACTTCTAAGGGAATCTAGGATTGTTTTCCTGGCATTCGTTTGCATGACAGATATGCGTTTCTTCATTCTTGGCCGTCAAGCTTTTCCGACGCGTATTATCTGATTCTTTTTTTATTCTATATTATTCTTTTATATCTTGGTATTTCTTTATTATTATTTAGTCTATCAAAACTGAATTTTCTTGTTTATAAATATTTTAAAATTTCTAATTTACTTTTAATTCACAACTTTATCTTATTTTAATTTATGTAAAAAGTATACATTATGCGTTCAATCTTCTAAATTTATAAGTTTAAAAAATATGATCAATATGCATGCCACGTCATAAAAATATTTTTTATATGTACAAATATAAGCTACTTTACTAATTTGAATTGTGATATAGAGAACAGTAGTAGCACTTTGCAATATTTTCATTTTGCCAATATGAAAATATTCAACTGTATAATTTTTTAGCATTGACTAAATTATATATTCAACCGAAATAAAACTCTGGCAGAGGTGCGATATATACTGAAGATCACATGTGTAAACATTGTCTCCATGTGTACCACGAAAGTGTTTAAAAAAGATACCCAAAGGAAGAACGGATGCCACCTCTGCTGGTCTTTCTTCCCTGTTAGAATTTTTCCATGTTTCAAATATACTAAAAATTGATAGATATTTATTTATTGATTATTGTTTTTTTTTTTTTCTTGAAATACAGGTATGAAAGATGAGATTCTGAAAATTTAGGTCGATGCCACATATTTAAAACCCGATCTTGACGTCACAGATATTAGCTGTCATCTATTTCCTCTCTTCAATACTCCTTTTCTGGAAACCACACTCTTTTCCATTTTATCCCTTATTTGATTATCCCCTTCTCTATTTATAACCAAATTACTCTTCTCTCTCAGGTTTTCTTCATGCAAATCTAGTTTTGTTTGCCTTACAAGAAAAAAAAAGAAAACCCCGAACCAAAATACCCTTTTTCGATTGATATGCAGCCCCAGAGATATTCAACAGAAGCATCATCGTCGGAGGTACATCTTGGTCTTGAGGCCTTAACCATATGTCCGAAGAAGAACCAAACCGAAAAGCATTGCAATTCTTGTATGATGACTTCAATCGTTGTGTCCTCAGCGGCTTCTTCTTTGATTGGTGATTACATTGGCATGGAGAGTTGCTTTGATCTCGACAAAAACGAAGCGATTTGTGTTGGTGATAGTGATGTTAAGGATAGTCATGAGTATTATTCTGGGGTCTGCAATCAAAGCAGTGGACAGCGAGAACAGTGGTGTAGGAGGAGGAAGATGAAGAGAGAGTTTCCTCCGCCAATACCGTCGCTTGCTCGCACCGACAATCTGCCTTCTCATATGCCTTGGGTGCTGAAAAGGTATTACACTAGCGATGGACGGTTGATTCTTAGAGAAGAGAAGGTGAGACACCATGAATATTTCTGGGCACACCGATCCAATGGTCGTTTAACATTGCATCTTGTGCCCTTGGATGACATCGATGAGATTTATGATATTGAGGATCATGTCAGTGACCATGAAGAAGCAAAGGAAGAGGACGCTCAAGTAAATGATTTTGACAGCAACAATATTAACAACAATGCTGACGATGATCATAAGAGTAACATTGTTGAAACTTTGCTTAAAGAAAATACTGATCCTGTGATTGAAGATTCAATGGTAAAATGTTCAATTACTGAGACTCCAACTGACAATGGGACTGCAGCAAGCTTAAACTACAACAGTGTAAGAGCAAGTCCCACATGTTTTCTCGGTTTGCCAGTGCCAGCAATCAGGCCAGTTCACATTTAGGTAAAAAAAACTCTTCTAATAGAGTCAAAATGAGGTGTCACTTTAATGGGATAAATGAAAATATGTCCGATTGAGCAGCATTAGGCTTAGATGCCATTTTTTTTTCTTTTTTTTCCCCAATTTTCCCCTTTTTTGGGTAGCGATCTTTGTTGATGTGATAAGAGTGAGTTGTCCTTTTCATACCCTTTTTAAGGTTAGTGGTAGAGGCTTCAAATGTTCTGATCTTCTTAGGGTTTCGTTTTCTTTGGTTATTGCATAGATTTTTCATTTGTGAGTGATAATTTTTTTGGGTTTTCTTTTTTTCTTTTTTCTCTTTCATTCGATGCCAAATGCTAAATGCCCTTTATGTAACTATATCTTTTCACTCTTTTTTTAGCCGACAACAAAAAACCTGCCACATGCAAAGGGTACATTTTGATGGGGAATGGGAATGGGTTATGATATTATGACTGGCAATTATGTTACTGGCTTTTTTTCTAAATTTAACTCTATCAAACTCATAGATTATCAATGATTGCTCTATAGAATCTTAAAAGGCTAAGAGTGTGGTACCATTGCTAAACTTTGTCATTCTCTATTAATTTGGATTGATACTGGTTTTGGTTTACAATTTGCACCCTCTTCTTGTATAATTTCTTTGAAACTTTACTGCATAATATTTATTTTAAAAGAATACTCATGTTCCTCATCAAACAAAGCTAAGAGGCAAATGCTAAATGAAAAGATTTGGAGGAAAGAAATTTCTGTTCCCGAAGTATCATCATCAGTCAATCTTCTCTAGAAGGTAGCTTTTCAGAAATATCAAAACACATACTTTTATCCATTAAAAAAAAAAGGAATTTTAAAAAGAAAAGGGGAAAATGAAGTAACATGGTGACCAGGAACTAGGAGATAACCTGATACAGATTTTTTTTTTCCTTCGAGCATATGCAAGAGAAAATCTAGTTGGGTTCCATGATGGCCACGCCCCTCAAAATTGTACAGATGGGTGTGGCAGTCTGGCACTGGCACTGGCACTGGCACTGGCGTGCAGTTGGGACAAAGAATCGACAATCAATCAAAAGTAGAAGCCCAGCTAGCCCAGAGGAACAATTTCAAAGGGGACCAAAGTATACTAATCGTCATCATGTTGTGGATGTAGATAATAATCAGATAATGTATGCTGCTAGAAGTGGTAGTATATGCAGTACAGCTACCTCCCAATATCTATTACTGTCCGTTCTCATGATTGGCCTTGCAGCAGCCTCTACGGTGGCACTTCACTGCCAAAACCTTCCACCCTTTCACTGTCAATTTTCGCAGCTGGCTGGTGCGTCTACCAATGTCACTGGTCAACCCCATTTGTTCATTTTGAGGAATTAAAATTTACGATGCCCCATGATCGGTCGCTGAACTGCTATGAATTTGAGCTTTCCAATATATTAAGTGGGAAAACAACTAAACTATGTGAATCTTTGAAGCCCAACTATGTATAAACAAACACATGTACAATCCATAAATGGTGTGTGATTTACAAATTTCAAGAGTAATTTTGTAATCAAGCAGACGCCAATAAACATATTGGGTTTGTTTTCATTTTTCAGAAATATTTGCTTCATGTGTAGAAATTTTATCTTATGTTTTCTTGTTCAATAATGAATACCTCAATCAAAAAATTATCCAATATATATGTCATATGAGCAATTAGAATATGGACATTTAGCGATTTTAGTAGTAATAAGCTCCTCATTAATTCAATCTACCCTTCATTCATCATATCTATGTAATCATATTTGCAACGAACTTCAAAAAAATGAAGATCAAACAAAGGAGATATATAGCAAAATTTACTGCTTGGTGCCAAGTGATTTGAAATTTTTGTATGTTGCTTTTCTGGCTTTCTATTCCAGCATGTCCAGCACTTTGCATCTGTTATAGGGTAGCCTATACCTTGCATATCTTTTTAAGCTGGGCTTCTTTGCTTTGAATTATGAAACAGTTTTTTCCTTTTTTTTTTTAATAATATTAAGGGTAAATATATCATTAGTCACTCAATTATTATTGTATTTTTAAAGTAATCACTTAACTATTTTTATTTTTATTTGTCAATTAAATTTGAGTAAGTTTTTTTTTTTTTTTTTTCGCTCAACCGTTAACTTTTAACGAGGTATTGACGTGACATTGTCACGTTAACTATAAAAAATCAAGTGGCATTGTCAAATTAGTTTTCACATCAATTATTAGTATGCCACATAATATGTTAGATCACATAGCATATGATTACTAACATGGCATTACTATGTCAATACATTGTTAAAGATTAATGTCAACATCTAATTTTGTTTGGATTGATTCGGATTTGCTTGATTTCTGTACTTGGTTTTAATATTTTAATTTGAGCTAATTTAAGCATTTTAATTGGATTTATCTAATCAAATTCGATTGAGCTTTGTTTTGAATTAATCTTTTTTGAATTTTTTGCATGGATTTAGATCTAATTTAATTTCATTATTGGGTCAATTTTAAATTAAGATTTAAAGGCCTAATTAAAATACCCAAAGTCTAATTGTATGTCCAAACTCAATTTTTAATGTCCAATCCAATTTCATTAGACTTAAGTTCGATTCAAATCATTTGGGCTTGAAAGCCCAATGAAGTCCAAAATCCAATTCTAAGACCAAAATAAGTTTTAAAACCCAATTTCATTTTTATTAGAATTAAAAGTTAATAGCATGCATGGTTCCTAAATTATGGGCTAAATTTTATGTTGCTTCCTAAACTTTAAAAAATTTTAATTGAGTTCTTAATTGTCCAAATGAATGTCAATATGGTCTTTTCGTCTACTGGACCATCTAAATTGATGGTAAATCCTTCGTGGCATGACACATAATCTAAACAAGTTGTATTACGTGGACTGTTTTAAATGCGAATTAAGCAAATAAAAAAAGAAAAAGAAACTTTAATGTTCACTAAAAAAATTAACCATCTAAAAAAAAAAAAAGAAACTTCTGAGATCTTATCAATGTTTCGAGTGTTAAAGAAAAATAAAGGACCTAAAGGTTGAAATGGAAGAGGTACAGGTTGTCGTATGGAAGATATAGGCTTGTAAGAACTATTGTAATTTTTTGAGTGTTTAAAAAGAAAAGAAAAGGAATTTGAAAGGGAAAAGCTGGGGTTGAAAACGAAGAATTGAAGGTTAAAAAAAAGAGCTAAAAGTTAAAAGGAACAAGCTACATGTTGCCATATGGAAGATATAGGCTTGATACTATTTTTTCCATTGTGGTTAATAAGCTTTAATTAGGACATCATGAACTAACAATAACCTAAGCCATCGATTTTTCGATTGCAACAACTATGGGGTAAGCACAAAGCATTTTTTTTAATTAATTGAATTTAGGGTTTTGACAACACAACAAATGTGCAATGGATTTTGAATATAAGTTTTGAATATGTGAACATAACTATTGGTTTTGAATTTTGTAAGTATTTAAGAACACAACAAATTAGAGTGTATTTTTTTGAATATGGGTAGCAAGTAGCAACAATGGGTAGCAAATTATTGTTTTGATGATTTTTATTTCTTTAATTTAGTGTGTTTTTATTTGTTTAATTTGTTGATGATTTTTATTTAAATTTGCAACAATTTGGTGCATGTGGGTTTTTGCGATGATGTGATCCTCTAGTAGATGAACACATCAAGGCTGTTATTTTAGGTTTATTAAAAGGGCTACGAAGAATGAAAAACTAAAATCAAGTCCCTTCAGATAATGCAAACAAAAATAATTGCAAGAATAAAAACTGGAAATGGATTGCAATGAGTTTAATTATAGTTATTTTACGTTGTTGGAAAGAAATTGAACAAAATTTAGTATATTGTTTAAGGTAATTGGCTTGTAATAAGTATGTTGTCGATTGGAAGTTGTTTATGTTTGTAAACTTTCACATTTTCTGTAATATGAATATGTTTCATGGGTATTAATGCAAATTTATTCATAAAGTTGCATATTGTAAACTACAAATTTTGTGTAATATGATTATGTTCATATCAAAATCAAATGAATGATCTTGAGAACAGAATAGTAAGCAATTGACTATTGTTTGGTAGCAATAAGTTTGTAGAATACTTCTATAAGTAATGACTATTATTCACATACATAAGTAATAATAACTCTATTTTATAGAAATGATTACAAGTTTGTATAACACTTCCATACATAAGTAATAATTTCATATTTTCATTTCAAATGACAACAAAATATAAGTTGGTATACTTCAATGCCAGTAAGTTTTGTACATTTTATAGAATTTTGTAAACTTTAAATGACTAAAAGTTCTAACAAAATCAAACACAATGTTCTAAACTATACTGAAATTTGCTAGCACAATCAAATACAATGTTCTAAAAAAAAAAATACAATCCTAGACAAAACAAGCTTTTCTTTCACACTGCAAACTTTATTCATCATGCAAATTTTTTAACCTTTTGCTGGTTGGCCATAGGCTTCCGAGCAACATGCTTGAATAAGGTTTTTATGGAAACTAGATTATGTGAAAAAGATGTTGAACCTTAAATTGCACACAAAGATAAAATTTACTAAAAAAACATAATCTGGCAGTAACCCTAAAGCTAAAATTTTAGTTTATTTACTTCATTAGAAACTAGAGAAAGAGGTGGAGTAAGATTCAACATTGCACTTTATGTATCACTTTGTGAATGTTGCGTACCTAATTATGGATTGTTATGATACACAATCTGACTTGAACCCTTAAATATAACAAGCCATGATGATTAGACAAAATTAATATATAAGTCATTATTAACCAATATAAATATAAATACTTACATCAGGCATCCATCTGAGTATTACATCATATAATGGAACTAATTGTTGTTGATGGTTTATTGCTATTGTTATTCCTTGCTGTTGAATTGGAACTAACTAGAATTGACTATTGTTGCTAATGTTGATGGTTTGTTGCTGTTCTTTGCTGTTGGAATTGGAACTAATTGGAACTGACTG